CGGTGGACCCTTCGGCCAAACCTGTGCAACATCGAAGAAGACCCCTCTCGGCCGAGAGGAGGGAGTTCGTAAAGAAAGAGGTGTCTATGCTCCTCTCCATCAAACACATCAAGGAGGTGAAATACCCTTCCTGGTTGGCAAATGTAGTCCTCGCACAGAAGCCTCCTACCTTCCGCATGTGCGTGGACTATACGGATCTGAATAAGGCGTGCCCCATGGACCCCTTCCCTCTGCCAAACATTGATCAACTAGTGGATGAGACCGCGGGATGCGAAATCATGTCATTCCTCGACGCGTTCCGCGGATATCATCAGATCTACATGCATGAGGAAGACGCTGAAAAAACTGCCTTCATGACACCCGAAGGCATCTTCTGCTATCTTGTGATGGCCTTCGGCCTCAAAAATTCAGGCGCCACCTACACACGCATGGTGGCTAGGGTCTTTCAAGCTGTCCTAGGACGCACCATGGAGGCTTACGTTGACGATATGATCGTCAAGAGTAAGAAGGCAAGCACTCACGCCGACGACCTCCGGGAGATTTTTGCCATCATGCAAAAATTCAACCTCCGGCTAAATCCAAAGAAATGCACCTTCGGCGTGCAGGGAGGAAAGTTCTTGGGCTACATGGTCAGCCGAAGGGGTATTGAGGCCAACCCCGAGAAGATTCAGGCCATCATCAACATGGAGCCTCCACGCAACGTCAAAGAAGTTCAACGGCTGACGGGTCGCCTGGCGGCCCTCAACCGATTCCTCTCTAAGTCAGCCGAGAGGGCCCTCCCCTTCTTCCAAGTCATGAGGAAAACCGCTGGCTTCCAATGGACATCTGAGTGTCAAGAGGCCTTCGACGAACTTAAGAAGTACCTCTCTTCTCCCCCGGTGCTCTCCAAACCGAAGGTGGGGGAGACCTTATACTTGTACCTCGGTGTTAGCCCTGCGGCAATCAGCTCAGTACTAATCCGAGAGGAAGACGGCATCCAACATGCCATCTTCTACGTCAGCAAAACCCTCCGGGAGGCCGAACTCAGGTATTCTCCCGTCGAGAAGACGGTGCTAGCCATCGTTTGGACCGTCAAGAAGCTTGGCCATTACTTTCAAGCTCATCCGGTCCAAGTGCTCACTCATCAACCCCTCGGCGCCCTCATGAGGAGTCCCACTAGCTCCTCCCGGATGGTAAAATGGGCCATCTTCCTCAGCCAATACAACATAGACATCCGTCCGAGGCCTGCCATTAAGGGTCAAGCCCTGGCAGACTTCGTAACGGAATGCACCGCGAGATCAGCGGTGGATGGGGAGCCTTCGGCACCCCTTGACGAATGGTGGACCCTTTACACCGATGGCTCCTCGGCCACAAAAGCATGCGGAGGGGGGGGTAGTCCTCATTACACCCGAGGGCTTCCGCGCCTATTACGCCATCCGCTTCTCCTTCAAAGTCTCCAACAACGAGGCCGAATACGAAGCCCTCCTCTGTGGCCTTCGGCTGGCAGCTAATCTGAAGGCTAAGATGATCCACGTCAAGTGTGACTCCAGACTGGTTGTGGGCCAAATTTCCGGGGAGTACGAAGCCAAGGAAGGGAGGATGAAACAATACAAGGAAGCGGCTAAGGAGTTGCTCAAGGTGTTTGAGGCGCATTCTCTCACCCAAATACCGAGGGCTCAAAACTCCGAGGCCGACATTCTATCCAAGCTCTCGGATGAATCCCCCGAGCACCTCTCGAGGATTGCAAGAATTGAGGAGCTCAGCCTCTCAAGTATCCACGCAAGCCCCGTCATGAGCATTAACCTAAGGCCGGAGGATTGGATCTCCGACATCGTCGCCTTCATCACCACAGGGCAACTACCCCAAGACGAAGCCCGCGCAAAACTAACGAAGCTGAGGGCTCCCAGCTACACCCTCGAGAATGGGAGACTTTACAAAAGATCTTACAACGGCACCCTCCTTCGATGCCTTCATCAAGATGAAGCCGAAGTCGCTATGGAGGAAGTGCACAGTGGCACTTGCTCGGCCCACCAGGGACCCTTCTCCATGTCCCGAAGGCTCATAGTTCAAGGCTACTTCTGGCCCACGATGGCTAGAGATTGTGCTGATCTAGCCCGAAGGTGCACCGCTTGCCAACACTTTCAAAAGGCCCCCGGCAGACCAGCGATCAACTATGCTCCCATCAGCACCGCTATACCCTTCTCCAGATGGGGTATTGACTTAGTGGGTCCCCTGCCGAGGGGTACCTCCAACAATAGGTATATCATTGTGGCCATTGACTACTTCACCAAATGGGTAGAGGCCGAACCCCTCGCCAGCATCACTGAGGCCCGGTGCCGCCACTTTGTTCTCAAGAATATTCTCACAAGGTTTGGCGTTCCCCAACAAATTATCTCTGACAACGGGACTCAGTTCGAAGCAGCCCCCTTCTGTGCCCTCCTGGAGGCTTGGGGCATCAAGCACACGTTCTCTTCCGTTGCCTACCCACAGGGCAACGGGCAAGTAGAAAACGCTAACCGTACCCTCCTCGAGGGGTTGAAGAAGAAGCTGGAAGCAGAAGGGGGAGGCTGGGTAGAAGAGCTACACAACATCTTATGGGCCTACCGTACCACCCCTCGGCGTGCAACAGGCGAAACACCCTTCTCCCTATGCTATGGCTTTGAGGCTAAGGCTCCAACAGAAGTGACCCTTCCTACCCGAAGGGTGGAACAGTATGAGCCCGAGGTCAACGACACCAACATGGCCCTCGACCTTCATCTCATCTCAGAACGCCGAGAGCAAGCTTTCCTCAGGGCCGAAAACTATAGGAGACAAGTGAAAGGATACATTGACGCCAAGGTCCGCTCCCGGGAATTCCAGGTGGGAGACTACGTCCTCCGACGAAGGGAGGCCAGCCTACCCACCGAAGGCGGAAAGATGGCGCCTAAGTTTGAAGGCCCCTACATCATCTCAGCCATCATCAAACCGGGGACATACAAGCTTAAACGCCCCAATGGGACGGAGGTCCCTAGACATTGGAATGTGCACCACCTTGTCAAATTCTATCAATAAGGCATGAGCGGCCAAGCCCTCATCCTCAGCAAGTGTAAATATTGATGGCCCAAGGCCCCATCTGTTTTTGAAGAATAATCAAAAGGCCAAGCCTTCATCACCTACATATTATACAAACGACCCAAGGCCCCCTTCTCTCCTACAAATGAGTGGCCAAGCCCTCATCTCTTCATTAAAATAGGCCCCGGGGCCTCTTCCTCTCATAAGAGGGAAAAACAGTTTAGGTACCAAGTACCAAGTGTATGGGTCACCCCCATCACTCTTTGAAAACACCTAGTGTTTTCTCACTAAGCCGTACCCCACGAGGACGCAACCACGCATACATTATGCATACTTTTGCATACTCTCATAAAAAAAAAAAAAAAAAAAAGAAAAAAAACCGGGGGGTGCAACACCCCTCGGCTCCGGCTGGTACCAAGTGCCCCCGGCTATTTGTGTTCTACACACAAATAAAACCCTTCCCAGGAACGCTTTCCGCGCCATCCCCCAAGGGGAGGCAGGCAACGGACCATGTCCCGGGCCCAGGATTCGACTTCCACAAACGAAACGCTCCCCGCGCTATCCCCCAAGGGGAAGCAGGCAACAGACCATGTCTCGGGCTGAGGGGACGACTTTCAAAACCGAGGCGCTTTTCGTGCTATCTCCCAAGGGGAAGCAGGCAACAGACGATGTCTCGGGCCGAGGAAACGACCCTCAAACCCTTCGGGATATCGGAAGGTCATTCCCGAAGGGGGAGCCAACGGTTTGTTCCGTTGCCTCCCATATAGGCCAAGCCTTTCCTAGAAACCAAGTTTCTAGATGCCTCTCCTACACCATCTAAAAAAAAAAAAAAAAAAAAAAAAAAAAAAAAAAAAGGAAGATGTGTAGGGGGGAAGGAACTCCCCGGATACTATTCTCCCCGGAGGCTCAACACATCGGATATACATTGCCGAAGGCTGCTACAAATGCACAAGAGAATCTCTCAACATCGAATCATCTGGCCACATAGCCGAAGGCTTCACTACATGAAGCCTTGGAGTACAAGAGTTCCACCGGAGGCCTAAGGAGAACAAAACTTCACCTAGATCAGAACTCGGTTGGATCAAAGTCAACTATGTGACACGCCGAAGGCTACACAAAGCTCTGAGGCAAGCTAAATCTATTATCTACACGAACCAGAGAATTCGTACCGAAGGCAGAATGTCACCGGTCTCGTACCCCTCGGCAACCATATACACCGGGGGCTCAGGCAATCCTCACACTCGACGGATTCACCACAGTATCTATTGAAACTTCGTGAGGGCAACTCTTCACCTACAGACTCATCACTACACTACTAAATGAAAGCTTCCAATTCATTCTATCCCTCGGCATCACTACTACGAACATCCGAAGGGGGTCGGTCCTACACTACGACCGGAGGCTCGCGACAAAAGTTCTTACTTAGAAAATTTTCTAAGTCCACAATCACAAACCCCCCGATGATTCTACCCTACATCCGAAGGGTTCTGATCAAGTTTACTTGGAAAATTTGATGGTTCCACAACAACAAACCCCCCGATGATTCTACCCTACATCCGAAGGGTTCTGATCAAGTTTACTTGGAAAATTTGATGGTTCCACAACAACAAGCCCCCGGAGATTCTACACTATTACCGAAGGCTAGCAAGGAGTTACACTTAGAAAAATTTTTCTAAGTCCACAAACTCGGGCCCTCCGGGAAAACATGCATTCATCCAAGTAAAGAAAGGCATACATTCACGAAGGAAGAGAGCGAAGGCAAATAAAAATGGCAAAAACGGAGGCATTCATTCAACAAAAGCCCAAAGGCGAAATCTATTCAGAATTTAAGAGATTGTTTCATTACATGGCTAAAGCCGAGGGATACAGGCTATTAAAAATAATACATCGAAAAGATCCTGAGTCTAAGCTCCTTGGACTCCGTCGGTCTTGGGCTCAGTGGTGGCATCATCAGCAGTTTCATCCTCATTTGCGAGGCCGCATTCCCTCATCAACTCAGAATCCGAGAGCTGGCGCCTCTCTTCGCCCTCCGGGAGGGGATTCCGGACATCAGGCTGACGAGGAGGAAGGCCGTAGGCCGAGGGATCGAAGTGGCTAGGGTCAACGCCAAAGTGGCCGGCCAGCTTCCTGTAGATCAGACGCTGGGTAAAAAATTCGCCCCCGTCAAAATAGTTTTTGCCCTTCAGGGCCATCCACTCAGATCCGGGGCCTGCCACCCAGCCCTCGACGCCCTGCTCTATGACCGAGGCCACCCATTCTTTCCGGTCCTCGGCCCTCCAGCCCTCAGCGACAAAGGCGGCGACGGCGTTCTTCTCAGCCTCGGCGACAGCTTCCTTCTTGGCTGCCTCGGCCTCCTCGGCGGCAATCTTGGCTGCTTCGGCAGCGGCCCTCTCTGCGTCAGCCTTCCCCTCGGCTCTGGCGATCACTCTGTTATTCTCGAGGATGCTATTGAACGCCATCTTCTCCAGCCGAAGGGTCTCTTGAGCTTCTTGAAGTTGCCGCCGGGACTCCGCCAGGGCCTCATCAGCCTGGCGCTTCTGCGCCTGATATTGCTCCATCCTCTGGAGCAGCTCTCCAAGACCGAGGGCAGCCTGCAGATCAAAACCATCATACAACAAAAATCAGTTTGGCGAAGTAAAAAAAAAAATGTATACGCCGAAATCACCAACTAAACAAAAACTGAGCGAGACTTACGGTGACAGAGGCTTGGAGCACTTTGGCGCTGAGGGCGTCATCCTTGGCCCTCGACAGCACCGACTTGTCAGTCGGGGGCGTGGCACCCTTTAGGAACTCCCTCGGGTTGAGGGTGCCATGCATGATGGCAGTTCCCTTGGTGATAGAGAACTGCACATCATCCCGGGGCCAAGCCAGGCTGTTATCCTGGCCCCCGGGAGGAGGGAGGATATTTCCCGAAGGGGAGGAGGAAGAGTGCTCTTCGACGATGACGACAGGGGCGTCTGTCTTCTCGGCCCCCCCATCTTCTTCTTCTTCTTCTCCGGGGGCATGACCCCCTTCCCAGCATTTTTTCGCTTTAGCTCCCCGTCTTGGGAGCCTCCGGCACCAGCACCGGAATCAGCAGCGGGTTTTTGGGAGGGGCCCCCACCCTCCGGGACCTTGGCGGTCCCTGCTTTCTTCAACGCCTCATCAACGAGGGGCTGGTTCGGGGACCCCTCGTCTTTCTTCTTCTTCGGCACCTTGGCCAGCTTCTTTGTCAATCGGGCGAAGGCTTGGACATCCATTATGTCACCTGCAAAAAATAAGGGAAGGATTAGGGTCAAAAGAAGACAAGAAAAATTTTCTAAGTAACACAACAAGAGCCCTCGGTGAACAACCTCTGGCATTCAGATACCCTCGGTCGATTCTAGGGTATTTTTCGTCCTTTTCCCCCGGGAGACGGTATCTTCGGAATCCTAACAAGTAGAGCTCCTCGGGCAGCGTCGCTTCCTTAATAGCGATTACTTTCTCAGAACCCGCGGGCTTCTCAATCAGTTTCCTTCCTGCCTTATCGAGGGCCGCATTGCCTACCTTGGGGTGCCTTTTGAAATGATTATTCAGCGCCCTCGGGAATGGATTTTCAGCCAGCCTGATGTAGCAGAACTTCTCCTTCCATTCCTTATGGGAGGAGGGGGTCTCGGAGAACAATTTCCAAGTCGGGACCTGTTGCAAGTTGGCGTATCCCCCGGCGTGTGAGTGGCCTCCCCGGCACAGATTAAAGGATAAGAAGAACTGGTCCAGTGTCGCTTCCACCTTCCGGCTACGACAGAGGGCCAGGAAGCCTGCCAAGTAATAGTGGCTATTCGGCGTGAGCTGGCATGGGGCTAGCTTCACAAATTTCAGATACTGCAGGACGAAAGGATGTAGGGGGAACCTGAGCCCTAGCTCCACGGACAAAGTGTGCACCGAGAAACACCCCTCCGGGGGGTTAGACAGCAAATCTTCCGGACTCGGCTCCACAACCTGCGCCGACGGTCCCACAAGGGCCTGCAGGGCATGACACTCGGCACTCGAGACCGTGGTCTTCACCTCGAGGGCAGTGGTGTCCAGATAGGAGTGGCCCTCGGGAATCCCAACTGGCCGCCCCGCGTCAACGGCTGCCTGCTTCTTCTTTGGGGCAGCCCTCGCTTTCTTCTTCTTCCTGCCCTCGGCTACCCGGAGGGGTTGAACATCCAACGGCCGGGAAGTGCTCGCCTCACCAGCTCCCCGTGAGGGCATGACGGCAACCGTTACCCGGCGGCGCTCCTTCTCCTCTTCCTCTTCGGCGACTTGGAGAGCGAGGGCCATCTCCTCATCTGCCACCACCTGTTCGAATTCCTCCGCCTCTAGCTCAGTGCGGAGTTGGCCTTGGACCTCTTCAGCTATCATGGCGTCGTTTCCTGCCGATGGCTGCTCACTGGATGATTCCACACTTGAGTAGCTCTCCGATTGCGCCGGGGCCTCCTCCGATATGTTTTGGGAGTCACTGCCGGAAGACATCTTGACGGAGGAGAAGGGGAACTACCTAAGCGTTTTAACCGAAGGCCCCTAAAGTCACTACAACTAAACCTGAGAAACTAGCAAAGTATGCTAAGAAAGTCGGAAGGCTGGGGAAGTACTGACCTCAGAATTCGATTGGGATCGAGGGTGAAACTTTCTCTCTCTAGAATCAAATTGCCAGAGCTTCGCTATCTCTCAAAATCGCGCAAGCACAAATGAGCTCAGGCTCAGGGTATTTATAGGCAACTGGGCCTCGATATATGGGCCTCGATTCGAAAGCCCATCATCACGGGCCGCCGGTTCGACCAATGGACGGCGCCCGCCCCCCACCGACCAACGGAGGCATGCCACGTCAACTCTTCTTCCAACGGCTATATTACAACGACTATATTTCGGTTACACTAGGGGTGCCCCCGAGTGGTAGCCTCCGGCTATCGCCCGCCACACCCTACGGACAATTTATTCCACCAAACGCCTTCGAGCCCGTAGCAGCATAAGCCTCTGGCTTGTCAATGTTATCGCCCCTCGGGGGATCATCAACTCATCATAACTCCTTCAGCCCGAACTCGCCTTCGGCCTAAATGAGTGGGGGACTGGCATACACCCCTCGGGGATCATACACGACAAAAAATTTCTTCATGCAACAATCTACAATTGACACGTGCAGCCTCCGGACAAACATCAAAGTGGAACCCCCTCGGCAGAGTATCAGTGAGTTCCCACAAGTCACTTGCGGAGCTCCCGGTGAAGATCAACAAAAGGTTTACAAGCAACACATGTAACTTTCGGACGATCAACAAAGAGATCCCCTCGGCTACGTACATCAGTACACCCTTCGGCAGAAACTTAATATCGAAAGTGCTTCCACAAATCACTTGTGGCAATGAAGCAACCTTCGTCACAACACATGCAGGCAATACATCTATGCTTCCCCCAAAAACCCTCGACATGTGAGGAACTGAGGGAAGCCATCGGCAATCAGCATAAGGCAGCTCTCAAGCAAAGGCACCCAGCGAGATGATGAAGCCTCCAGAAGAATCAACGCATCTACTCCTTTTCCCTCGAGTACCTTTCGGCAAAAGGAGTGAGGGACTCCTGATGGAGTATATGGCCCAGGAACCCCCGGCCCATAGACTCCTACTTCTCCTACACGAGTCCATTGAGCCCAGGGGACATCTCAGGCCCAAATACAACGGCCCAAGCTTCAAAGTAGCCCAGAATACGCACTGGGGTGCCTTCGGCCTCCTTGGCCGAAGGCTCCGAAACTCACAGGATAGCCTTTTCTGGCATAAGAAGCTGCTGGGAGAAAACGGGCGAAGACATGAGCCTTCGGCATTCCCATGCCCTCGGCACCAGGGGAAGCCTTCGGCTGAACCAAGCCCTCGGCCACACAAGGGGCCCTCGGCTACGCAATGAGCCCTCGGCTACACAGGGAGCCCTCGGCTGAGCAAGCTCAATCATCGAAGATTCCTTTTAGAGACAGCCAACCACCGCAGTTAATGCCACGTCGCATCCGCCAACCGCATTCAATGCGGTTGACGTACCACTGCCGGTGCCACTAGGCTGATGTGACCCTTCGGCCGTTGGATTACTGACACGTGTCCTCTCATTGCATTTATTGCTGCTATAAATAGCAGCCCATTTCTCCTTGTAATCGACACAATCTACATCTCAACTCCACGCTGAGTTCATTTAATAAAATCGACTCTCTCTCCTCCTATTTACTCTGACTTCTCTCTAGTTATTCCCGTAATAACCCCTCGGATAAGATACCCCCGGGTAGACTGTCCATCACATATATATGAAAAATAGTTAAAATGGTTATCTACAGAAACTTCAGCCAATAGCCCAATACAACCACAAAAGTAACTCCAACCTTACCTTACCTTTTCTTATTATTACACAATTTAGCGCGCGAAATCAAAATTTACGTGTTTGGTTAAAAAGTTGATTGATAAGTCGAAAACATGGCCAACCCTGCATATTTAAAGGCCTAGGGGCGGAAAAATAAAATGTGCCTAATCTTAAAAACACTACAAAACCTTTTTTTTGTCTAAACTAACATGCATATTAATTTTTTTAAAAAGAAAACTAACATGCATAATAATAATAATACTATGATAACCATTCACAAAAATCAAAACATTTATAAAAAATTATAAAACCCTCTTCTATCTAAATCAATAATATTATAGTATTGGTGGTCCTTATTTAGGAATAAAACACTGGTGGTCCTATTTGTGTATCTTACCAATGTTTTAGTCTTATTAAAGAATTAACTCTAATAATGTGATCATTCTGAATTGTTTCATTTTCGATAGCTAAGTCATTCTTCTCATCTGAATTCTTATCTTGAGGATATTCAGAATTCAACTACTTTACACAAACAAACTTTTCCATTAAACAATTTTTACTTAACACCGCTTTCTCTAATTTTTTCCTCGTTTTCTTTATCCTATCTAGATTCAGTCATTTTAATTACACCTTAAAGTTAATTAAATTTATCAATTTAATTATAATTGAAATTTTGTGTCTGACAAAATAAACATTATAAAACCAACACTCAATAGATAACAATTAACAATTAAGAAATCAATCAACTAATTAAATAATTAATAAACTAATCAAATAATCATATCAGACTAATCTGCTTCCTAGTCGAATTTTTTTAATGAAATATTATCAACATGTTTTTCATCAAATTTATACCATGTCCACAAACTTTCAGTTAAAAATTCAATAAGCAAGTAATAGAAATAAATTATTGAGATACACAGTGCCAAAATATGCATAAAAACGCATTGTTTTTAAATAATTTTTTAATTTGACTTAGAGATTGAATTTTAAACTAATTTTTTTGGACATAACTTACAATCTTACATATCATAAAGAAAATGTTCACAAATTTTCATTAAAAAATTCACTTGGATGCATCTAAAAACGATTCACCCAAAAAAATATTAGTGCAGGGTTGAAAACTCATCCTACACACACCTTTTTTTTTCCCTACACACACCTATTATATAGAATTTGGACTTAAAATTTTTCCATTTTTTTGGGTCTAGGACCGCTGCCCCTTACCCCCTAGAGCCGCCCATGACTGAAAAATAGAGTCCCCATATGAACTCTTAGTTTCATACGAACGTTTAAAACAGCAGCAAGACGGTTCGTATATCGTGGAACACTCCCACAATGAGCATCGTGCTCCTGCAATCAAAACGACACGGTTTAGCATTTTTTTAATAAAAATTTTTGCGCATGAACAGTACACGTGTGTACAGTGTTTTTTTTCCTTTGTCCCAGTAGCAGAGTGATGTCACTCACGTGTAAAGAAATGTAACTCACGTTATTGATCAATGTAACTCAAGCCCAATCGAAATGTAACTTGTCAAATACATAGTATAAGAAATAAAACATTGATTTCAATGTAAATAATGAAAAAAAAAACAGTCTAGCTAATTGCCCAATTATTTTACATAAATAGAGTATATGTTTTGTTTTTTATATCAGGGCTGTAAAGATGATTTTTTTATAAAAAATAATAATTTGTATTTGAATAGCAGGGGCTTATATTGTGATGTAACTCGCATTATAGAAAATGTAAATCACGTGTAAGTGAGATGTAACTGAAGTGCACTTTGTCGTGGTGTGCACTCAAAGTAAATATTCAATACAACAATTATACGTAGTATAGCGAAGTAAGGTTCATATCCACAGGGAAAGGAACACTTCTCTTTTTATAAAACTAGAAATAAGTAACAAGGTTTTTTATTGGTTGATGAACTTTAAATTATATTTAAACACGAAGATGAACGACTTATGTGGTTTAATTAATGAGAAGAAGACTTGGCTTTGCTTTTATCCACTTAATGAAATGTTCGTCGATCCCGGTTATATCTTTAACTATCTTCCTCTCGAATACTCAATCGAGGAGTATATCCAATTCATCAAGGGTAGTTATTAATAACGAGACGCGTTCATTAATAAAACTTACTACCGAGTTAATATAGAACACACGCCGTATATTCACTCGATAGTAGCAATAAAATAGAGATGAAAACGATTGAGATTGATAACCTCAAC